CTTAGAGTTTCTTTGACTCCTCTTGAATTATGCATTTCATCTCCATTCAGATTAGTTTAAACAGGTCTTTAAACGGAAAGGGACTGATCATATTTAAACTGGGTTTTGCCAGTGTTTAACAAAAACGCGTTACGTCTAAGCCATTTTCAGTTTGACCAACGCTTTAATCTAAACACCACTTGTCGTGTACAGTTTCAATAAAGCATAAGGCGTAGACCGAAAAAGCACTTATTTTCTTAAAATCAACCACTAAGGAAGTTATCTGGAGGTCCAAAGATTTGCTAACAGCAGTTAAACAGACCCAAAGGGTCGAATATTTAAACGACGTCCACTACCAGATCTCTTCGTTAGTGGGTTCTTTTAAGAAGACAAATGCTTTTCTTGTCCACTTTATATGCTCTAACGATACTGTTTACGTTAAATGGAAAGCGTTCGGCAAACTGATTAAATTAGCTTAAAACGGGTTTTTGTTAAACACTGCCTAAACCGGCTCCGTTTAAATTACTGGCCCAAAGTGTCCTAAGGGTAAATGACTTGTAGCAACCTTGTAACCTTGTTTCCAAATAGTTTTGTAGTTCTGGGAACTCAAATAATTAAGCGCAGAGTTGAGTTTTCAAAAGGCTTGCACACTAAAAAAGTATTTTTTTATGAATTTTTTAAATGAAGAATTAACTGAATTATTTCACTCATAATGTTAAGTAAATGTTCAAAAGTAGACTGAGTAGAAAACTTTTATACTAGTTGTTAAACCAATGAAGGAAAATAATCCCTAGCTGGGTTAAGATAATTAATGTAACTGCTTGCTGGTAAAAGGAATCCCGCTGGCTCTAAAGAGCGGCCATTTTTTGCGGCGAAAATTAATCATTGACTATATTACGCTTTAGAAATGTCAGTATGTTGCTAACAGAAATAAAACTTTTTCGAAAAAATGGTCTTTGAGGACTCCTGTTAAAGATCGTCTATATTTCACTCGTTTTGTTTAGTAGATATTTCCCTCATGGTTTCGTGTTGAATTAAGGTGAATAAGGTCTCTCCTAGGGTGCTGTTTAAAACTTAGTGGCTCGTAATCGATCGCGAATTTAATCATCATTTGTACAATTTCTTATTCAATTTTTTTGAAACTACTATTTGTCCTATACTAAAATTATATAATACCCTCTTGTGACTATAAGGGCCGGATTCGGTCGTGACGCGGCATCTTGCAGGTCTTAGATTTTTTTAAAAAAGGAAGTAGCTATTCCAAGGCGTTATTTCCAAACTAATGACAAAGACGGAAGTTTTTTCTTTGGCAAGTGACTGCTACAACTTCACACAGGTTAAATCAAGACTTGTTCAAGACCGTGGAATAGTCAAAAAATAGTTTCAGTCACCTAAAAGGCCTAAAATCGCTTCATATAGACGCGCATTTTCGTTCTCTGACCCAGGGCCCCATCTGTCTCCTGGCAAACAGCCTTTCGCCTGTAGTTTACTCCCCCGACAACCGCATCAGCGTTTTGGGGAAAGGTGCTTATTTCCCTGGGAGGGACAATCCCTGGAAGGTCTTGTGAGACAGACATCCCCGCAATGTTTTGGTTTTGATCCCACGCTGTTGGCCCTTGTTGGTGTCCCTGTGAAATTTGGCCCACGGCACCGCTGTGCACAGAGGGTTGATTCGGTAAAACTTGGCTGCCAATCCCTGGATCATCAGCATTCTCCTGTATTCTTGCTCTAGGAAACTGCATCCTGTTACTACTGTTCTCTTCACTCTAAAGGAAAAACAAACAGTTAAATACGTTATGTTTCTTTAATGATCAATATATTGACCCCGGGGGGATACTTCCTTTAATGGCCTATACGGGGAGGCCCCGCTAGTATATAAGGCTGATTTAGCAACGGGACGGGTACGTCAGTTGACGACAGGAAAGCGCGCGGAAAGGACTAAACAAGACTTCCGGTGCTCAATTTGCAGCTATGCCATTGGTCAAGCCAGTTGTTTGATATGCGCGCGCCGTTGTCAACTGACGTTCTCGTTCTGTTGCTAAATCAGCCCACTGTTCTCTAGAAAGGAGGATAATATGCCATTTCCCCTATTTATACCTGGAAATTCTAAGATTACAAAATTCAACAGAAAAAAAATTCTTCAACACCAAAAATTTGTTGAAAGTTTTAGCAGAGCCTTCTGAGTCCATCCAGATCCCTTCATCAGTGATGACGTTTGCTTCTTAGCCTCGTTTTGATGAGGCTTCGAAAAGTGTTCCATAAATTGGGGGAATGTTAATTGTAACCCTGATCACGGTTCATTTCCCGTCGCCGAGTATGAATGTTTATGGCCTCGCGTTTCTTGCGTGAAAGCGAAGGTGGGGTTTGAAACAAACGTGAACACGTCGCTTTTCAAAGATTCTTTGAAGAATCTCGGAGACCCCACCGTAGTACGAGAGCACAATAAGTTTCTTTCTGCCGAAGCCAGAGGCGCTTGACTGCTGATCTGGTTTGGAGTAAGAGATGAAGTAATGGCAGTTGCAATAGACCAGACCTCGGTTCCTGGAAAGCCGATTAATCTATCCTCCGATTAGCAATTAATCCACGATTAAATTTCTCATTTCCCCGATAACTAATCGTGGGTTAAAAAGTTGTTCCTCAAAGCGAAGTTATCCCGCGATTAACTAATCCGAAATTAGTCCAAAAAAACCGGTTTAACGAGTTTTTCGACTGCCTGCTTCCAAAAAAATATGGCGCGAAAACTTGGCGCCGATCGTGGGACAGGTGAACAGGCTTGGATAAATTCTGCTCGTAAAATGGCTTCTTCTGCCCGTCGGCAGTGCTCGTAAAAATCGCTTTTTCTGCTCGAAATTCTGCTTGAACACCCTTATTCTGCTCAAATTCTGCTTGAAAATACCTTAATCTGCTCTAAATTCTGCCGGCGCCCGACCGGTGCCGAAAATAACGCCACGAGAACTTGCTAAAGTTGGTGACAGCGCGTGGCTTCTTCTCGTCTGCCTTTGGAGATCGGCTTTTGGGATTTCTACTAGATATTTGATTGACTCTCGGCCAAACCTGTACTATGTATCTGCTGCCAGTTTCTTCGTCTGTTAGCTGCTCGGGGTCAATTTCTCGCTGTTGGAACTTTCTTTCGCGGGAACAGTCATTCCGCCATTTTGTTTGTTTTGACAAACTTTTTCCTCCAGTTAGTGAGTTAATCGTCCTCGCTAGGTGGGTTAAATTTAAAAAGTAGTTTATTCGTAGATTAGTTTTAATCGTGCTTTCAGGAGCAGAATTTAATCGCGGGATATAATCTATTCCGCGATTAGCGATAATCGGCTTTCCAGGAACCAGGGTCACGGTAGAGATCGATCCTCAGTGTTGCAGGGCAGTTCTGAAATGTGTGTGTCAGTTCTTGCTTTATTAAATGAAGGATGATCAGTTCTTGCTTTAGTTCATTAGGATCAGACACAATACATTTAGCACAATGGAAAAGTGAAATATAATGTCCCAACAGCAGAATCTTCACTCTGTCATACAAAAATCATTGTCTAAAAACTATAAAAACTGAAACAATTAGCAGCCAGCACGCGGATACCATCTAAAGGACACCGAGCAGTCCTAAAGGGGTAACGTTTTCAGGGTTCAGGTATAAGAAAGAGTAGGCATTTCACTTGTTAAAGTATTTGGGGGGTAGGGAAGTGTCATTTCGGTTGGTAAAAAGAGACCCAAAAGGGGTAACACATTCATTTTAAGGCTGTAAAAATGTCTTGAAAACGTTATGGTTTTGTGATTTATTCAAATTTAAAAGACAGTGAATTTAAAGGTTGAAAGGGATGCAAAGTTTTTAAACAAGGTGGGTGAAAGGGATACAATTTGTCAGTAAACGGTATATAAAAGAGGTAGGTTAGACCTCGGGGAGTATAAAATTTTGTTAAGTACCCCACAGCACCCCAGGTATTTTGACTAGCACAATAATCAAAAGCTTGTAATGAGTCAGACATCAGTAGTAAAGCCTTATCGAAATACACTCTCTTTTTTTTATAAGAATATATTTTATATCGAGAATTTGCGATCGAATAAAGGCTGAAATTTGCGAAACATTTTAAATAATATTTTAAGAATTCGAAACCGCCCTGAGGCTGAGATTTTTGGACCTTGAGAGTGGGCGCTTATTCGAGGCTGGGCGCTTAAAATTTTCAACATTTTCAGGATAGATATAATTTTAACAGAACGCGAAGATGTGTTCCTGAAAATACATCTGTAAATTTATTCAATTTTACAATTTGAGTTTGATGTTTTTAAAGATGGGCTTATTCGAGGTAATTCGAGGTTGGGCGCTTAAATAAATACGGTAACCGTTATTCCTTTCTCTGAACGGCGAAACTAGCCAACAAAACGAAAAAACCTGCACTAGCTATGGCAAAATGTTCAACGCTAATGACAGTTCGATGAACGGTACATGTAATACATATACATATACCCCAATAAATTCTAAAACGGAAATGTCATAAGCTATAATTTAAGGATAATACAAGAATATTTTCAGCCTAAAATCGGCAGAAAAATAAGAATATTCAGCCTGGGCCGGAAAAACAACATTCTTATAAAAAAAAAAAGAGTGTATTGTGAGTCCTTTACAGATTCTTTTGTACTTCATACAAACCTTGCATCACAAAGTTAATGGTCGCTTTGAGTGGTGCCCTTGCAGCTCAGTTTTCAGTTGCAAGCGACAAATAATAATTACTAGTAGTTTAAAAATAGAGGTTGGTTTTGACAGCGTGACGGTAAATTAAAATTGCTGGATTTCACTGTAACGTCGTCAAAAATCAAAATCAAAAAGTGTTCAACATATAAAGTCCAGAATCTGGAAATGAAAGGAGTTAAGTGTGCAAAGACCTTCGCAAAGAGGCGTTTACGGCGCAATTTTTCGTATGCGAGATATTTATTCGTTTTAGCTAATTTTTTTTAACTTTAACAATAAGAGCTCTCTAGGCGGCCATTAATGAATGCCGCGTCACACAAAAGTACTTTATGAAACACGAGGAACCGTTTCAAAGAGAAAATTTGTAAAAATATAAGTTTTTTAGAAGCTCTTATACTTCAAGAAAGTAAAAACTAAGGAGGGTCGATAATTCTTTTGTTTGAAATTCGGGTGACGTCATGTGAAAACCAAAAATGAATATTAAACGCTCGGCTGCTGGTTCTCACTCTCACGCAATAAAAAAAAAAGCTCAAATGAAATGAAAGGAGGTTGATAGGCAAAGACCTACGCCAAGATTTGTGTCAGTGCAATTTTTTATAGCGAAATATTCGGAGAAATGATTTACCCAAATTTATAGAGCTTTTGACGAATTCAGAAGTCATGTTGGTTCTCGGCCATGTGGACGAGACAGGATGAGCGACTGTTGTGGCTACAGCTTGAACTTCAAAACTAGACTACAAAACAGCCGGATTTTTTTCTCAAAATCAGTAAAGAAATTGGTAAAGCGTGGCGTAAGAGCCTCGTTCCACACCTTTTGTTTGACTGCTCGCGCGTACTTGAATAAGCAAAAATACGGACAGTTTTGCAGTCTACTTCAAAACCATTTCCAGATGATGGTTTCAGCAGACTCAGCTTAACGATTACCCATTCCTTATATATTAATCAGGGCAACATCATAAATTAAAATTATTATTTTATCTATTAAGGCAAATAATTCGACGCCCTACATGTACAGGTTTTTGGGACAAATATCAAACTCATTTCGCAAAGACAGAAATTGACAGAAATTTGAGTTCGTTATTCTTCGTTGTTTGCCAGCTGTCAAAAAAGAATATACCAGAATTTATTCTGGAGAAGTAACCTCTATTTTTTTTAATCTCTCAGACGTCCTAATGAATCCAGCCACTAATTGCAATTAAAAACCAACGCAGAGAGAGAAAAAAATTAAAAATAGACTAATAATAATAATAATAATAATAATAATTCTGCAAGTTGTTTTTATGCTTTTGTCTGAGCTAATACTTTATTTTCACCGGCTGAAGGATATATATTTTTTTAATTTAAAGACGGTTTTCGCTTGCAAACCAACAGCCGTCACAAGTCCAATAAGAGCTGACGTTGAAAAACACGTTTTGCGTCAACCCAATACAGCCATAAAGTCAATGCAACTATTCACACAAAGCTGGGGTTTATACCTGCCGAAACCTCATTGCCCAACTTATGAAGGTATACTATTTGGTCCCCTCATTTGTTGTAACAGCCCGGGATTAGCGCAATGTAAATTTCAATTATGATTACTAAAGAACCCTTACGTTTCTCTTTACTGAATCTTTACTGAATCTTAATTTTCAAAATGTAGGGCAACTCGGTGTGAAAGATTTGTTTCTGATTTCTCGGTCTAAGCAACGAGATGATAATTGCAATCGTGAACTTAGGTGTTTACCGTTTAGCATATATATTTTGGAACAATTTATATAGATGTTTAATTCATTAAAAACGTTTTTCTTTGAAATGCGATATAATAATTTGACTTTCTTGCTGTCGTGCTGTGTAAGTTGTTCGTTTACTGACTTTAATTTCTGGCGTTTAGAGTCAGGGCTTTATATTAAGCCTAAGAATAGTATCATAATTTTTCGCTTCTATCTCCAGTTTTCGATATGTTGAAAGGGGTGGCATTAGTTATAAGAATTTAAATGTTTTTTCGCCTTGGCGAATGATAATGAATGCTTGTCAGTAGCTTTTTTAAAAAAGCACGGAAGGAAATACTTCGTTTAGCAGATGTACGTTTCTAACTTCATATTCGGTTTCAATTCAGTCGCATTCTACCAAAAAAGAAAACGCATACTACATAATATATATTTTTATCACAAGAGAGACAACAAGACCAACGTTTAATCCAAAACCAATCCTTTAAAATAAAGTCAGCTTTATTTATTCGCTTTTACATTAAAAAAAAAGAGCGAAACGAGATGAATAAGAGTACCGTACTGGGCAAGAGCATAAATAAAAGATTGTAGCTCAGTTTCTCACATATTTTAAGGAGTTGCGCTCTAAAAGTAAGGAATACAAAGCTCATGATTGCTACAAATCTATTTGCACTTTCATTTATGACACTCGTAACATGCTTTCTAAAATGAAGATCGCGCGGTCAAATAAAACATGGATGGCGATAAATTTCCTACCTTAAATCTCCGCGCTGCAGATCTTGGGTCTTTTATGACTTCTGCAGTTACATCTCTACTGTTGCTCATTTTTTGCACGGATTCGCCCGCAGTTTGTTCCAGCAAGCGTGAAGCACGATTCCCATCCCGAAATATAGTCCTCTCGAAGGGATCTCTTTTCCCAGCCATATTATATCTTAAAACGGTTTGATTCGATGTTATCTGTCCGAGATGATTAGAAAATTGTGGTTTGGCTGAAGTGTTATTCCTCGATGTTGTCACAAACCGAGTACTCAGTGGGATGCGAGGGTTTTTCGGACCCGTCAATACAATAACCAGCCGGTTGGCAGCTGCGCATTTTGGACTGTAATAATTCATGTATGCATATATGCACATAGTCACTCAATGAAAGTAAACAATACTGTTTTTCAGGTGAGAAATCGCGAAGAAAAGTAGTCACTTTTTGTTACAACCGTAGGGCATTGATTTACTGCGGATACATATCTTGCATGAATATCAGAAAAAAGAATTTATCTTAAGTTGCCTTTCTCAGTAATTTATATTAGGGCTAAATATTGAAAGTTTTATCTTTGCCAATCTCAATTTCCAATAGATCTTTCAGACCTCCGAGAAATGAAGCTTGAAATTTGCGGGGTTTTTCTGAAGTAAAATCGAGGGCGGTTTTTTGTTGATAGGTTTAGTTCGAGGGTTTCAGTTACAGCAACTATCCGCTGGAGTGGCCAAGCTTTAAGCTTAATTAAGGCAGTCCGAGATAAAATGATTTGATATGGCCTTAATAATGACCAAGGAACAACTTGAGCAAATTTTCTCTTCCTGTAATTCGTGTGTGAAAGTGAAGAATTGCACGGTGGCCCACGACCAGAGTAAGAAATGGCAAACGCGACCCATCGTTCACGGCAAAACAAAAAACCTTAAGGCAAAATTAAAATGCCGTGGAAAAAAACAAAAAACCCAAGGCAAACGAAATAGCCCCAGGGATAAACCTTAATATCCTGACAAAACTGAAAAATCATCGAACAACCTTGGAAAGAATCATTTATTGAGTTTGAAAAGCCTTAGTCAGTTGTTTTTAGGATTCGCGGTGAGATTAATAGACCTTGTCACGGTTTTCGACGCCATCTTGACGAGTAGGCAAACTCATGAGAAATTACAGTGATTGTATGAGAATCTAATGTCGAATAATTTCCGTAGAACGGCTGTCCTGAAAAAAATATGATTTGTAAACTAAAGTTTCACTCCTAAGGAGTCTCCTGAAAAAATTTGAGGGCGTTACATGCACTAGAAGACCTAGAACCACTTTTTTAATGCATTTAAGAAAGTCCCGGGAAAATTACAGACAAATATACGGAAAATCTAAAGCAAGCCTCTGGAGAAATTTAGGCACAGGTACGCCCCCAAATGTTTTTAGGACAATCCTTTGCTTTGTAGCTTTAGTTTACAATTGATATTTTGTCCAGAACACCCGTTCTACGGAAATTATTCGACATTAGATTCTCATACAAACACTGTAATTTCTCAAACGTTTGCCTACTCGTCAAGATGGCGTCGAAAACCGTAAAAAGGTCTATTTTTGCATTACTTTCGCCGAGATTTTTTTCGCTGAGAATTTTTAGGTTTTACCTTCTTAAGGGCTTTTTTTTTTCCGTAGGGTTTTGATTTTGACGTGAGGTTTTTGCTTTTGCTGCAAATATTTATTTTGTCCGTGATAGTTGTATGCTACTTCAAAGTGAATCATAATTAAGAGCTTTTCCGTGTAAATAATAGCAAGTAGTCGACGCATACTTCAGAAACTGAGAAAGCTCTTATGTTGGACATAATTAAAAAAACTGACAATTATTCTATTTTTTAAAAAAAAGATGATATACGTTTGTTATTCTAAGAAGACGTACTAAAGAGTAGCTTCATATATGATTGCTGTGACGCTTAAAATTAAGGGAGATCAATTTTAGTAAAACTATATGGAAAATAATGAATAACGTGCAAAGTTGTCGTTATCATGGTATTCTGAAATTTATTCTAATACAAGAAAGAAATCGTCAGTAGCAAATTTGCATGCATTGGAGAAGATGAACATGAATGCGAATCCAAAAAAGTGAAAAACAATTATGAGCATTTATTAAATCTTGGGGGCATAGGATAGCTCTAACTAAAAGAACAAACTTCGCTCTTAAGTTACGATTTCCTGTTAATATCAGAGATTTAATTTTTTAAAAATTGTGGCTCAGGGCGCTCACATTGGACTTTCATGACATTCATTGGCTCGAATCAGAATTTCATTACTTTGGGGAAACTCTTATGATAATGTTTCCATCATCCAAATTTGCCTTTGTATCAACAGCAGGGAGTTCCTCTATCACTGCAAAGATAGCCGCGGCGTTATTCCACTGATTTTGCGGATTTTTCCATTTCAATCGCTGCCTCACATTGTTGTTTATTGTCACTTCGAGATACAAAGTAGCAAGGATCCCCAGTCCCTTATTTACATATCCTGAATTCGCCTCGGCGGGTATCGGCCAACGCAGTAATTAAAATTCTCCATTTTCCGTGATTTGTATACACACTTTTTAATGTTTATCCTACAAACCCTAGTGAAAGAGGTCTCTACACAAATGAAGATGTGCTATTTATTAGAGCTTAAAAATACGAACAGTAGATGAGCATGGCGAAAAATTCAACACTCTGCTAAAAACTGAAGGGGTCCGCAATGTTTTAATAAAGAACGGGAAAAGCGCCATAATATTAAGCAAAACGAACAAATCGGGATCAACGGTGGGAGAAAAGCGAAAGCAAACAGGAAATTGGAAAGTGTTTTCATGCAAACTTAAGTACATATTTGAGGAGACCCTGTATAATTTCCTTAAAACAAAATAACTATCAGATAGAAGTAGTTGGCGGATACTTCCGTCCTCCTAGCATCTCAATACAAATAGGCGATCGCTGTTGTGATATCATATCGTCGAGAACTTGACGATGTATTTTAGAAATGGCCCTTAATTAACCATCCAATTCTGATGTTAAATAGTGAGAAAAAAAATAAGTCTGGCGTTTTATTTATAATATGTGCAAAGGGGTACTTGTCAATGTGTGTGTGTTGCAAAACAAAACAGCCGTTTAATTTAATTTTAAGCCTTCAATAACCATCTCAGGTATGCTATTAAAATCATTGCTTTTATTGTTATTGCATGCAGTATATTTAGTTTTCCTCCATTGGGTAGCGAAACAATCTATCAGTTCCTATAGATATATGAATAGATATATGAATTTAGATATCCGGTAAACCTTGTGAGAGGGGAACCTTTTTTTCCCATATCTTTATTGAGGGTTTCTAAAACAAATACATACAATAACTGACAGCTATTTGATGAAAAAAGTACATATATTTATGTAATTTATATTGGCTCGATAAACGAAACCAAATTTAGTCTTTTGATGATTGTAATCGACAAAGACACATGAGCAAGGACCAAGGACTTGCTTGATGAAATATTACAGTAAGTCAGATATAAGTACCCAAATTGTTAGCAGAGTAATGTCTTGCACGCGCAGTCAGGACATAAAAAACAAAATGCTTTGGTCGAGGTGAATTAATATTTCTGTCAAAGAAACATTAAACTTCTTTATAACATTTATTATTCATTCAAAATATTACGCTGTTTCGTATTGGCTCCAATCCCCATGCAGGTTAATTCTCCATAATCAGCCGGCGCTCACCATATTTGAAAGATGTAGAGAATATATCGAGAATATACGAACGATACGATGGTTTATTGACCCAAATTAAAAGTGTCCCTACGCAGCGGGCCGTACCAAAGTAAAGATCATTTTCGTTTTTAATAAAGACAGTGTTGGTGCTACAAGACGTTGTAGAAGGCCTTAATGTAATCAAGTCCTAGATGTAATCACCCTAATAAATGAAATACAGTCCGAAATGTAATAACATTTGCCATCAAATGTAATAAACTCCAAACTGAGTGAGATAACATCCGGCCTTTAATGATATGACGTTATGCTAACGTCATTTATGACTTAAGTAATCTTTGATTAAACAACTAACTGGTTATGACAGTGGCCACGTGACCTGTCGCGCCATCTGTCACGCCATTAGTCACGTCGATCATCGTCAACCACATGACCAACTGATTAAAACACCGTCACGCATACAAGGCACTTCCATCCTTATTCTTCCCTACCAATTTTATTAAAGATGGACTGATCACAGTGGTGTCATGCTTTATTCATATGCTAGAAGTTCGGATTTGTTTTGATCTTTCAGCTGCAATACCTCTTTCGACATATGCTTTATGCTTTGTGGAGAACTGATACCATCCTCTGGTTGCTTGAAAATTCAATATGGTGCCAAATTTTGGTAAATAAATTAAGCCCCCCACCTCCCTTCAAATAAGCCCCCCCCCCCATTTCCATTAAGCCCCCTTTCAAAAGGCTTTGAAATAAATAAGCCCTTGGAGGGCTTAATAGAGGATTTACGGTATCCTCGAAATAAAAAAAATATCCCCGACGGATACACGGATACTGCGGACATATTTCAGGTGAAATTTGGAAGATGTTTAACTGCCGACATCATGAAAAACGGATAATTGTTAGGAGACCTCTTTCGTCAAAAACTATCGATGAAGTAGCAAGACAAACTAAAAAACTAAAACTGAATGTGGAAATACGTAAGAAGGTAACACCAATATTCTGCTGTTTTTCATTCTCGACTGTTACCGGAAACTGGCTGGAAAGTGGAAAACCTCACCAATCTAGTTTCCAGTAATGGTCGGGACATCAAAAGGCATAAAGATCAGCTCCTGGGATAAACACTTATCAAGGTAAAGCATTTTTTTAAGTATAGTAAAATAAAAGATAGCTTTCTACACTTAAACTCATACAGTAACAAAAAAACAGACATTCTGCCAGTAGTATTTCAAACTATATAAATTTCATAGACAGGATGAAACCCCACGGGGGTACTGCCATATTTGTATAAGTAAATGAACGCACGGACAGGCTTAAACGAGTTCATATGACCTCCTAAGTGCTTCGTGGGTAAAAAAGCAATTTACAATTTTTTACAATTTACAATTTTACATGGGCTATATAGGTATGTACCGCTGTAACCCTTTACGCACAAGCAGTTTCCTCTGGGATAGGGTAAATAAATCAGAGAGTTTGGGTCTAGAATAGGGTATCATTATCCAGGAAACTGATCGATTGATCGAAATCAGTTTTGTTTTGGCTGGACTGTGCTAGTGACCCCCGTAGTTTCTGGAAAACACCTACTCTAGGATAGGGGAGGTTTTGGGGAGTTTAGACTAGTATAGTAAGATTCACTTGAACTAGCTCTGGTATAGGCTAAGAGTTCCAGGGTCGCAGCG